AACCAGTACTCCACAATATTGCAAAATCTAAGAGAAATGGACAGTTTTCTCAATACCAAAGTTAAATTCAGATCAGATAAACATCTTAAACAGGCCTATAACTCTTAAGGAAATGCAATCAGTCATTAAATGTCTCCCAACAACAACAGCAAGCTTAGCGTCAGATGATTTTAGCACAGAATTCTACCAGACTTTCAAAGAAGAGCTAAAATCAATGCTCCTCCAATTATTCCATAAAGTAGAAACAGAAGGAACATTGTCAAATTCATTTTAGGAGACCACAGTTACCCTGATACCCAAACCACACAAAGATTCAACAAAGAAAGAGAATTACAGACCCATTTTCCTCATGAATATAGATGCAAAAATACTCAGTAGAATACTTGCAAACCGAATCCAAGAACACATCAAGGAGATCATTCACCATGATAAAGTAGGCTTCACCCAGAGATGCAGGGATGGTTCAGCATACAAAAAACAGCCAATGTAATCCACAGTATAAGCATTCTGAAAGAAAAAAAAAATATGATCATCTCATTAGATGAGGATTTTGAAATAACCTTTGACAAATTTAACACCCCTTCATGATAAAAGTCTTGGAGAAATTAGGGATACAAGCGATATACCTAAACATAATAAAGGCAATTTACAGGAAGCCGATAGCCATCATCAAATTAAATGGAGTGAAACACAAAGCAATTCCACTAAATTTAGGAACAAGACAAGCTGTCCACTCTCTTAATACATATTCAATGTAGTTATTGAATTTCTAGCTGGAGTAATAAGACAACTTGGGGAGATAAAGTGGATACAAATTAAAAAAGGAAGAAATCAAAGTATCATTATTTGCAGATGATATGATAGTATATATACAAGTAACCCAACAATTCTACAAGGGAATCACATAGCAATGGACATCTGATTTTTGATTTAAAAAGCCAGAAATACACAATGGTAAAACATAAGACAGCATCGTAACAAATGGTATGAGTCTAACTGGATGTCAGCATATAGAAGAATGCAAATTGATCCATATATGTCACCCTGCACAAAACTCAGGTCCAGGTGAATAAAAGACCTCCATATAAAGCCAGAAACATTGAACCTAATAGAAGAGAAATTGGGGGATATCTTTGAACACATTAATGCAGCAGACAACTTCTCAAATAGAATACTGATAGCACAGGCATTAAGAACAACAATCAATAAATGTGACCTCATGAAACTGAAAAGCTTTTGTAAGTCAAAGGACACTGTCAATAGGACAAAATGGCAGCTTAGAGAATGGGAAAAGATTTTCAACAACTCCACATCTGACAGAGGACTAATATCCAAAATATATAAAGAATTCAAGAAATAATCCAATTAAAAAAATTGGTATAGATCTAAACAGAGAACTCTTAACAGAGGAATCTCAAATGGCTCAGAAACACTTAAAGAAATGTTCAACATCTCCAGCTGTCAGGGAAATGCTAATCAAAACTACTTTGAGATTCCATCTTCTGCCTGTCAGAATGGCTAAGATCAAAAACACAAGTGACAGCTCACATCAGCAATGATAAGAAGAAAGTGGAAAACTACTCCTTTGTTGGTGGAATTTCCATAGCTACCATGGAAATCAATATGGCAGTTCCTCAAAAAATTGGGAATTGATCTACCTCAAGACCCAATTCTACCACTCTTGGGCATATACCCAAAGGATATTCCATTCTTCCATAAGAACACTTGCTCAATGATGTTCATTGCAGATTTATTCATAATAGCCAAGAACTGGAAACAATTTAGATGTCCCTCAACAAAGAATGGAAAAGGAAAATGTGGTACATTTACACAATGGAGTATTACTCAACTGCTACAAACAATGACATCATGAAATTTGCAGGCAAGTGGATGGAACTAGAACAGATCATGCCGAGTAAGGTAATCCAGACCCACAAAGACAAACATGGTGTATACTTATTTATAAGTGGATATTAGCTGTAAAAGAAAGGATAATCATGCTACATTTCATAGACGTAGATAAGCTAAGTAACAAGGAAGCCTCAACAGGGTATGCTTGGATTTCCATGGGAAGGTGAAATAGAATAGATTTAATGGGTGCACTCAAGACAGGTGGGGATGAGACCACCAGGGATCAGATGGGGAGAAGAGAATACTTGGAGAACTGACTTGAATTTGGAGGCATTTAGGGGACAAGGTAGCGATGAAGTACGGTGGAAACTTCCTGGAAACTACAAGAGTGACCCTAGTGAACTCTCCTAGTAATGGGAGATACAAAGCCTACACTGGCCATCTTCTATTACCAGGCAAGGTCCAAGCAGTTGGACTGGGATATCAACCCAGCCACAAAACCTTTGACCTATAATCTGTTCTGCTTGCAAGATGTACTGGGGTAATGGTGGTGCAGAACTTGTAGAAGTGGCCAGCCAATGACTGGTCCAACTAGAGGCCCAGGCCATAAGAGGGAGCACACTCCTGACTCTACCTGGATGTCCAGGAACCGGAAGCAGGACAGCCTAGAAACCTAAGATAGAACCAAACACAGCTGCCAAAAAAACAGTCAATGAAATAATTCCTAGTGATGTTCTGTTACACTCATAGATCAGTGCCTAGCCCAGGTGTCATGAGGGTGTCATCCAGCAGCTGATGGGAACATATACAGAGACATGCAGCCAGATGCTAGGTGGGGCCAGGAGAACCCTGCAGAAGAGGGATAGAAAGGACTGTATGTAAGACAAATTTTCAAAGGTCTAATTAATAAAAAACCTGGAGCCAGAAATTGGGGTAAATTCTGAAAGATCAGAGAGACAGAACAAGCCACAGCCAACTTCACCTCACCAGCTCCTCAGCTGATCTAGTTTCCTCAGATTGAAAGCCTCTGAGTCTTCACCTGAACAGATCTTAGCTAAACTGCTGCTAAGAAGCCTTCTAGGAAATCCTCAGCCCAAGAGCCTCTGAGTCTTAGTTGAACTGCTTAAAAGCATAAAACCTTAAAAAGCCTCTAGTTCCTGGTCCTCAGGCCTTATATACATTTCTGCTTACTGCCAAAACTTAATGCGATTAAAGGTGTGTGTTTTTCCCAAGCAAGAACGTGAGATCTCAAATGCTGGGATTAAAGATGTGTGTCATCATGCCTGGCTCTGTTTCCAGTGTGGCCTTCAACTCACAGAATTCCAGATGGATCTCTGCCTCTGGAATGCTACGATTAAAGGTATGTGCCACCACTGTCTGGCCTCTATGTCTAATATAGTGGCTATTTTGTTCTCTGACCCCAGATAAATTTTATTAGGGTACACAAAATATTGGGGGATACAATATATCACCACAACTGTAGGAACCAGAGGAATAGAGAACACTGGGAGAACATGGCCCACAGAATCAACTAAGCAAGACTCACAGGGGCTCACAGAGATGGAATTAACAAACACAGACCCTCTACAGGTCTGAACTAGGTCCTCTGCATATACCCTGTGGTTATGTAACTTGTTGTTCTCATGGGGCTCCTAACAGCGTGAATGGCGGTTGGTTATCTGACTCTTTTTGGCTGTGTTTAAGACCCTTTTCCTCCTATTGTATTGCTTCTGTCATCCTTGATATGAGTGATTTTGCCTAGTCTTATTTTAACTTGTTAGGCTATTTTTGGAAAATATCCCTGGGAGTCCTGTTCTCTCTCTCTCTCTCTCTCTCTCTCTCTCTCTCTCTCTCTCTCTTTGTGTGTGTGTGTGTGTGTGTGTGTGTGTGTGTGTGTGTTTATGGTGGAGGGTAGGGAAGAGGAGTGTATCTGGGGGATAGAGGAGTTAGGGGAGGAACTGGGAGGAGTGGAGGTAGGGGAAACTGCAGTCAGGATATAATGTATGAAAGAAGTATAAAAGAAAAATCATTTTTTCATAAAATAATTTTGATCGTATTCCTTTACCTTCTCCAACTCATCATCTCCCTACTCACTCAATTTCATGATTTTTTTTCTCTCTCACACCCCTAAAAAAGATGAAATCCCAAACAAACAAATAGATAAAAATAAAACAAAAAACATGAAGTCTCCACTAAAGAAAATGGATTTTCTCTTTCTCAGCATGTATCAGTTACAAATAGCTCCTTGGTTAGGGTTGAGAATTTGTGCCCACATCTCCTTCTCCATGTTGAGCTATTTCCTGGTTTGCATCTGCACAGTTTCTGTGAGCTCATATGTGGATCAGTCCTGTTGTATCTGGAAGATCCTGTTTCCATGGAGTCATCCATATCTCCTGACTCTTTTAATCTCTCTGCCTCCTCTTCCACATAGATATTGAGCCTTGAGGGAAAGGTTTTGATGAAGACATACCATTTAGGGCTTAGTGTACCAATGTCTCTTGCTCTCTGAACATTGTCCAGCTGTGGGTCTCTGTCAATTACCATTTACTAAAGAGAGAGTCTTATAGTGTTTGAGTGATGCACTGTGATATCAATATGTTATTAGAAGCCATTTCATTGCTATGTTCTTTTAGCAGAATAATATTACTATGTTTTCTTTAGGACCCATGATCTATCTATTCTAAAGTTATTGGCCACTTTAACAGTGTCAGGTATGATTTCCATCTCATAGTGGGGGTCTTAAATACAATTTTAACAGTACTTGGTTACTCCCATAACATTTATGCCACCATTATAGAACTAGTTTGACTTGTAGGTACATCTCTGTTGCATGTGTCGGGCTCTACAGCTGGATCAGACTGATGATTACCTTTCTTCTCTGCACAGTTACTTCCAGCACAATGGATGCTAGTTAGCATGGGTGAATCTAGCTGGGAACCAGTTTGATTTCTCCATGTTCAATGAAACAAATAAGTGGTGTCTTCAACACCAGGGCTTTATCATCAGGTTGTGAAAGTTAACCAATTGTCTTGGCAATATTCTGTAACTTTGGAGGGTGTTTGTGGGATCCTTTAGGCCAATGACTCAAGAAGATAGAAACCATTCTGGTCAATGGAAATTTAACTTCTGACATAATATACCTATTTGGTGTGCTCTCTTTGGCAGCACACATACTAAAATTGGAATGATACAAAGAAGATTAGCATGGCCCTGTGCAAGGATGATACACAAATTCATGAAGTATTTCATATTTGAAAAATAAAAGGTATCTATTTGGGACATTTCCTCCCTCATTATATTTGTGACTCAATTTAAATTCCTTTTATATGTATATACCAGAGGTTCTCAACTTGTGGGTAAAGGCCCCATTGGGAGGGTGTCAAATGAGCCTTTCACCTGGGTCTCATGTTGGATATCATAAATATAAGATATTTATATTATGATTCATAACAATAGCAAAATTAAGGTTATGAAGTAGCAATGAAAATAATTTTATGGTTGGGAGTTACCATAACATGAGGAATTGTATTAAAGGGCCTCAGCATTAGCAAAGTTGAGAAACACTAGTGTGTACAATTTAAGAAGCTTCTACTATTTAGAAAGCTTTCCATAAAGCGTTGCCAAAGGCTTCTAGTGTTAATTATCCCACACCATATTGCCTTCTTTTTCCTGTCCTCACAGCTGCCTCAACATTTAATCTCCTTAGTTTCTCCTTTATCTCTTTTATAACACTATATTGTATTACTCTTTCCTTGGAACATCCACCGTACCTCCTGGTCCCCTTGTTAATTACCTAACTTCTATGGTTATTTGGACTGAAACACATATATAGAGATAGCTTAAAAACTGGCATCCACATATAAGAAAAAACATGTAATATTCACCTTTTCCTATATCTAAGTTACATCACTCAGGATGATTCATTCTAGGACTTCTCCATTCACTTACAAATTTCATAATTTCTTAATGGTGGATTACATTCCACTGAGAAAATATACCATCTTTTCACTATCCATTCATCTGATGATGGGCACCTAGGCTGTTTCTAATTTTTGGCTATTATGGTTATATGAATGAGCCACTATCTGTGGAGTAAAATATAGAGGGGTATATATATGGTTTATAGGTACATATACCTAAGAGTGGTATAGTTAGGCCTTAAGGTAGGCCATCTTTAAGCTTCCAGAGGCATCTGCACACTGATTTCCATAGTGGCAATACCAAGTTTGCACTCACTCCAGCAATGAATAAGTGTTTCCTTTTTTCTCATTCTTTCCAGCACGTGCTGTTATTTGTTGACAGTTCTGTATGAGATGAGAGGAAATCTCAATGTAGTTTTAATTTACATTTTCTTTATGGCTAAAGATGTTAAACTGTTTCATAGTCATTTGTGTTTCATTCTTTGAGAACTCTCTGTTTAGCTCTATATCTCATATTTCAATTGGGTTATTTGTTTTCTTGATGTTCTCTTGTTTTAGTTATTTATCTATTCTAGATGCTAACCCTCTCTCAGGTGTGTAATCAGTAAATATTCTTTCCTATTCTGTAGACTACTGCTCTGCTTGAATAATGGTGTCCTTTGCTATATAGAAGCTTTTAAACTTATGAGGTCCCATTCATTAACTGTTATTCTAAATGCCTGCACCACTGATGTTCTGTTCAAAAAATTCTCCTCTGTGCCAATGATTTCAAGCCTACTGCCTACCCTTTTCTATCAGATTTCAGGTAGCTGACCTTATGTTGAGGTTTTTGGTGCATTTGGGGCTTAGTTTTGTGCAGGGAGATAAATATGAGTCTATTTGAATTCTTCTTCATGCAGCCATTTAGTTTGTTGAAGATGCTGTCTTTTCTCCAGTGTGTATTTTGTCATCTTTGTCAAACTTCAGGTATCTATAGGCATATGGGATTGTGTCTGGCTCCTCAACTCTGTTCTATTGACCCAGGTGTCTGTTTCTATGAGCATACCAAGCTATTTTTATTAGTGGAGATCTGTGATACAAGTTGAAATCTGGGATGCTGACACCTCCAGTGGTTCTTTAATTTCATTATTCAAGATGCTTTTAGCTATCTTGTTTTTCTTTTCTTATCTCCTCTATTTTTTCTTCTTTTTATCTTTTCTCTTCTTTTCGTGTGTGTGCGCGTGCGTGTGTGTGTGCATGCGTGTGTGTGTGTGTGTGTGTGTGTGTGTGTGTGTGTGTATGCTTACACAAGAAGTTAAATATTGTTTTTCAATTTCTGTAAAGAATTGTGGAATTTTAATTGAGATTACATTGAACCTGTAGGTTGCCTTTGGTATTATGGCCATTATTCACAATAATAATCCTACCAATCCATGAGAATGTGAGATCTTTCCATATTTTGGCATATTTTTCAATTTCAATTTCTTTCTTCAACACCTTAAAAGCTTTTACCATAAGAGACTTTCACTTGTTTAGCTAGCTATGCCAAGGTTTTTTAAAGCTATTTTGAAAGGCACAGTTTTCCTAATTTCTTTCTTTGTATGTTTATCAGTTTTATATTAGAAAATTACTGATTTTATGTGCTAATTTTGTTTCCTACTACATTACTGGAAATATTTAGTAGTTGTATAAGTTTCCTCATGGAGTCTTTAGGTTCCTTTGTGAACAAAATAATATCACCTGCAAATTAAGATACTTGGACTTCTTCCTTTCCTATTTGTATCCCTTTGATCTCCTTAAACTGTCTTATTGATGTAAGACATAAGTACTATATTGAATAGGCATGGCAAGTGAACATTCTTTTATTATTTCTGATTTTAGTGTATATGAGTTGAGTTTCTTTTCATTTAAGATGATGTTAGTTGTGGGCTTGCTGTAAATTCCATTTACTATCTTAAGACATGTCTCTTGTATCTCTGGACTCTGGTTGAGAGCTGTTCTAGGATTAGCAGTAGTTACAAAGGCATGAACATGGACTTAAAGAGAAGGGTAAAAGAGATGACAGGAAAGAATTAACTGGGACAGTATGGAGGACAAAGTTCACCCACCTAAGTCCCAGCCTAGTGTGGTGCTGTGGTTCCCTGGTAGAGAGCAGTTCTTTCAGTCAGTGGAAGATAAAGGAATGGAGATGGATTATAAGAAAAGGCTCAGAGCTTCAGAGGGGAAGAATTAGGAACATCCTGAGTCTGCTCCAAGTGGTACAGTTCCTAGTGGATGGAGGTGGCCTACAACATGGAATATTAAGAGCAAACTTTTTAGCAAAACTCTCTGGTACAAATACACTGTAAGAAATGCTGTGGTCAAATATGGAAGTGTTAATTTTGAGCAAATGCAGACACTCTTTCTATAAATAAAATTCAAATATGGGATAGTAAAAGAACAATTGTCAGGGTTTGGTAAGAGAAAGAGCATGTGTGTGCTAATATACATTCATATGTATTAGAAAGAAACAAATGTAACTTGCTAATTCCACCTTCTAGAAAACATGAAGTGCCAATAAAGCTATCTAGATTGTATTTTATGCATTGAATTATGATCATGTTTGTGTTAAATTCTAACTTCAGGAAATGTCACAAGGAAGCAATGTTTTCTTATAGAAGGTTCTGTCTTAGACAGAAAATGGCCTTCCAGCCAGAGCAGGGCATACAGGGTAGCCCATCAGCCTGTCAGGCTGGCATTCCTGCTGTGACAGCTTCTGTCACCCTAGAAACGCATTGCCAGGAGCCACTTGTTTTGATGCCAGTACAGTCCCTAGAGTTGTGGGTCAGAGAGCACATCCTGTTTATTCATGTGCCAGCATGAGGAATCCTCAATATTAATGTTCCAAAGATTGGGCTAAGAGTACAGTGGCTCCACGGCCACTAAGCAAGTTAGGTGGAGAGACAACATGATGCACACAGCAGCCTCTCTGGAACTACTCATTTATGATATTACCCTTTTGTGGAGATAAGGATCCAGTGCATCAAGCAACACAGGTCATGAGCTGCATGATGTAGCTCTAGGAATCATCTTGTTCATGTAGTTGGTATCTGTCATTCTAATTCTAAAGACAGAGAAATGAACTACAATTCAGTTGCTTTCACTATTTTGTTAAAATCAGTAAAATACAGGTCTTTCGTTAATAATTTGCCCATACTGGGGATTTTTTTTAATCAACATACAGCTCTACTTAATATTTTAGTAACAACAATTCTAATGGTAATAAAGTATTAAAACATAGTCTTGCCTAGCAAATTAAAAAGATAAATAAAGGAATTACTCTGAAGAAAACAATAATCAGATTGTCTGATCAGGTTCCAGATGTGTCTGTGGAAGATGTGTATCCTCAGTGGAAATGGCCCGTTAATGTTCACATGGTGCTTTTCTCAGTGAAACACTTCCATTCCTTTACAGTGAATGCTTGTAAATAAACAGATAATTGAGGGGCTTGAGGCATGGTTCGCTGGCTCAGAGCACTTGCTATTCTTGAAGAGACCCAAGAGTTCTGTTCTAAGCATGCACATTTGACAGCTTAGAACCACCTGTAACTCCAGCTCAAGAGGATCTAAATGTCCTCTTTTGGCCTCTGTGAGCACCAGATGCATGTGGTGCACATACGCACACCAAGAGACACATTTATCTACATATAAGGTAAAACAAACAAATAAATCTAAAAAAAAACAAAACAAAACAAAATAATCATAAAACTCTGATTGCTGCAGTGTCAGTCCTTAAAAATGGGTAACTGTGGAGAGTTCACAGAGCATGTTGTTCTCACAGTCGTCATTTTCTGCCCACACAGAAATTTGATAGAAGTAGTGTCTCTCTTCCTGTTGGTAAACATGTAAGCAGGATCCACAGAAAAAGCAATCTGGCTGCAGCTTTGGTTTCAGCTTCTTTTGTTAGACAAGTTGACACTGTGGCTCTACTTTTAACAAGACTCTGATTCATAGAAAGAATTCTGCCCACCATCCCCAGCCAGGCCCAACTTCTCTGGAACCCCATCCCAGCCCCCTCTGGCCAAGTCCTCCCAAGCCTTGTGTTGTTGCTACTCAGTCATTCAAAGGTGCTACAGGAGTTTTGGTTTTATTTTGTTTAAGTGTTTAATCTTTTCAAAGCATTCACTCGCATATGTTTCTTTCTGAAAGAGTTCAGGAATCTTTTCCTAATATTCTCTAGGAGCAATTCCATACAAAACAAGAGAGGCTTCAGTGCTCTCTTTGGTCCCTACTTCCCACAGCCTATTATAACAGCTGTGCTATTCTAAAATATTATAGCATTGCATATTTATATCTTAAGCTCTTTTGAGAGCCTCTG